GCTTGAAAGACATTTATACAGCACCGCATATATACTAGGTCCTGTTCTAAGCACTTTACAAATATCAATTCAATTACTCCTCACAACAACTTATATTATCCCCGTTTTACAGATGAGGAAACTGAGGCCAAGAGGTTAAGGAACTGTTGAGGGTGACACAACCAGTGTGTATGGCAGAGCCAGAATTAGAACCCAGGCCGTCCGGCTCGTGGCCCACTAACCTCCTCAGTTCTTTCCTTGCTCTTCTAAATGCTGTGTGAATCATCTGTGCCTGAGCTCTGACAGTGTTAGGGTAGTTGGAGGGGCACTCTGCTTTGAGCCTGGCACCCTGCTTGGAGTTGCTCATTTCTTGTCTGTGCCCAACTAGACTATAAACCCCCTGAAGGCACCATGTCTCTTTGAATGAATGCTATGCCTAGCATGGTGCCTGGCTTACTCGATGCTCAACTACTGGGGTCATGAAACAAAGGCTCAGAGAGACTGGCCTGATCGAGGGCACACAGCTGTAAGTTACAGTCAGCACAAAACCGAGTCTTTCTGCCATCAGATTCCACATTAAATATGACCTCATTTATTCTTTGTAGTGATTGCGTTATATTGCTAGTACAGAGTTCCCATAATTTATTTAACTGATGGGCATTTGAGTTCTTGACAATTTTTCACTATAGCAGAAAGCTGCAATAAAATCTTTGTACTTACCTTCTACAAGCATTTCCGTAGCCCAGATCCCTAGACTGAGACTCTTGAGTCTGCACAGTTCAAGTTTGGATACTACTAGGTTACTAGCTAAACAGATTGTACCAATTTACCACCACCCCCAACACCAAGGTATGAGAGTACCCGTTTTCTGTGCTGTGTGTTCAATTTTAAAACTTGCCAGAGAGCCCAGCCAGTGTGGCTCAGCAGTTGAGCATTGACCCATGCACCAAGAGGTCACCAGTTCAATTCCTGGTCAGGGCACATTCCTGGGTTGTGGGCCAAATCCCCAGCGAGGGGCATGCAGGCGGTGGCCAATTGATATTCTCTCATCAATGTTTCTATCTCTCTCCCTCTCCCTTACTCTCTCTCTAAAAATCAATAAAGAAAAAATAAAAAAAACCACCAAACTTGCCAGAGACTGTACTAGGGGCTTCTGGGACAATTTCTGAAGGTGACTATACTGTACAAGGTTTCTCTTAACAGAACCCACCTCCTCCTTAATAGCTCTCAAAAATGGTTTAATTTTGGAGACTTTTTTTACTTTAATCCTCACCCGAGGATATCCCCCCCCCCCCTTTATCTTTAGATAGAGTAAAAGAAGGAGGGAGGGGGTGGGGAGAAAGAGCAAGAGAGAAACATTGACGTGAGAGAGACACATTGACTGGTTGTCTCCGGCATGACCCCGACCAGGGCCAGGGATGAACTGCTACTGAGGTACATGTCCTTGGCTGGAATCAAACCCAAGACTCTTTGGTCTGTGGGCTGACATTATAACCGCTGAGCCAAACCAGCCAGGGTTGATTTTAGAGACTTTTAAAAAAGACTTCTGTAGTTCATCCCTCTGGGAACTAGGCTCAGCTTCTAATGTCCAGTAAGTCCGTATGAACTCATGAAATCAGATCTGAACTACAATAGGCTGGTGATGCAGAGAAAAAGGGGGATGTGATAAAGTGCACCCAGAGGTCGGCTCCTCTGTCACTCACCAGGAAACCAGCTGCCACCTCGGCTCTTGACTGGGAGTTTCTTTTCATGTTGTTTCCTAAGATAAAAGTCATACAGCTTGGGAAGGAAACTTTTCATCAAACAGTACAGAGAAACAGAACAGAGCAGAAGAGTTGCTGAGGTTATTCAGTCCACTACTATCATTTATCAGATAAGGAAATTGAGACACAGAGGTTGAGTGACTGATTTAAGGTCACACAGAAATGCAGAAGCAGCAGTGGTGGAATCCAGCTCAAAGCCAGGTGGGTGCTCTTTATAGTGACAGCAGGGTGTATCCATGTCCACTGACAGTCCTGTCAGGCTGCCTTTCTTCCATCTCCATTGCTTATTTATTTTTGGTACATGCCCCTAGCGGGAACCAAACCTGGGACTCTCTGGTTCGCAGGCTGATGCTCCAACTGCTGAGCCAAACAGGCCAGGGCTCATCTCCATTGCTTTTGAAAATGATGGGAGAGTTGGGTTTCTTGAGAAGGGACATTTGCATAAAAATCATGGCAGCATAGCTATGTGTCCTTGGGTATGCTGTTCTTATTTCCTTGGAGGCCCTTCTCTGCCTAACTGCTTGAACTCCTCTTCATCCTTCAAGACCCAAGAGAATCGTTAGGGTCTGTGAAAATATCCCCTCATTTCCCAGGGCGGCTGGTTATCCCCTGCTCCATGTTCCCATGCCAACCTTAACCAGCACTCAAAACAGTTTATGATAAAAATTCCTCAAAGGTATAGGTGTATCAACTTTACCATTGCAGCCCCAGCACATACCTTAGGCTCCAACAGGACTGACTTTGGAGCACTAAGTCCAAGAGGCGAGAAGTCTATCATCCATCCCAGCTACTGGCTCACAGTATAAACTCAAAAAGGGTTCACTGCTGCTGAAGGAATCTGAACAGGGATGTCTTGCTGTGTAAGGAGATTCTAATCCTGGAGCCACTGAGCTTTCAACAGACACTACCTGGAGTTGCCCAGTAGGTCAGGCTGGCAAATGAGTGGGCACTAAAAGCCTTCACCTGTGTCTAGCCTCCAGGGCTCTGAGACACTTTCAAAGATGACCTCATTTGAGTGAACTTTGTAACTGCTCTTTGCTGTTACTTCCATGAGGCTTATCTCTTCTCCTTCTGCCAAGAAAACTGCTCCCAAATCTGGCTGATTCCGACGCCAGGACTCCAAGACGCAAATATGGTGGAGGGAAGGAGCAAATCAAGCTAAGAAATATAAGTCAACACATATTTAGTTTCCAGGATTTAGAAGAAAAAATAAGATTAACTACAGCCATGAAATAGTCTCTAAATATTGAGTAGCTCAAGAAAGGATTAATGCTACTTTCACAAAGTGGGCTGAGCTTTATTGGTTGTGGACTTCCTTATGGGTATTAGAAAGGAACACACGAAAAGCTGGAACGTGGTATTTCATTATCTCGTTTATTTAATTTGCTTGTTTACACACACGATCTGTGTGTATATAACAGTGGCAAGAGCCATTTTCTAGATACAATCTGGTACTCAGACTATGACAGATGCACGTGGAAAATGAGGCGTCAGTGAATGAACCTCAACGTGGAAAGGAAAAACAAGCATAGCAGTACCCTGTGATCACAGATGCCCTCAAAAGCATCTTGTTCAGCGCCTGGAGACAAAAAGACACTTTTCAAGATGAAACAAGACTATTTCAACAGGAGACACAGACCCTAAATGGCACTCAAAATATGTTAGTTTCTTTGCCTTCTCTGGAGAAATAAACAAGTTTTAAAGAATTTAGTCAAGAAAAAAGGGGTGGGAGATTTTATGTGCAGGGCATTTTACATGTATCAGTTCCCTTAATTCTAACAGCATCACCTCCATTCTACACACAAGGAAAATGAGGCTTGCCCATGGCCAGGTAACTTTCAGTAGTGGTGCTGAGACTTGAATCCACATCTCAAGTTTGCCTAAGCCAAACTCAGCTACACCAAACTGTCTCACATAGGGAGATGACATGCTCCCAAGAAAAAGGCAAGGGTGCTAAGAATGAACAGGAAGCAGTGGAAAACTAATCAATGTACAAGACTCGGTAATGGACACTTTCTGCAGAGTTAATTGAATGCTGAGCTTGAATCAGACCCAGATGAGAAAAATGTCAAGACAGTTAAGTGTGACAAATGAACTTCTGGAGTCACCCTGTGCCTGTTGCCTTTTGGTGCTGAACATGATATTTTGGAGAGATTTCAATCCCTTCAATAAGCTCCTGCCACCTATCCCACCCCACTTCCACCCCACTCCCACTCCAGAGGGCAAAAATAATCTCACAGGGCCATCGCCTGTTGCCAATGCTCCCAAAACATCATGGTGACACCTCTGAAATCTCGTTGCCAGTATTTCTGCTACCTTCTTCCAGTACCTCACACAATACAAGGTAACTTGCAGCTCAACTGGATACAAAGAGGATACGATCTATTTTACATACATCATTATATGAAATACAATTTACTCTGAAGGTTTTCCAGAACTCAATCTCCTAATAACCTAAACTTGAGTTAAACCAGTCACAGTAATGTATATCAGTTAATGCTATTAACTGGGGGAAGGGGGACATCAATGAAAATTTAAGGGTGATTATCCAAAATGCAAAGGGCTCAGTTTGAAAGGCTTAAGGAGACAGTCTGGGGGAGGGGAGGGGATACAGTATCACAGAACTTCTAACTGCCTTTGTGAGGAGGAGGTGATGGGATTTCTAATCCTCCCCAGCATCCTCACAGTAAAGATCACAGAATGACAAGGTGGGAAATTGAGAAGGGCTGCAAAAGGGACAGAAAAGGTCATTTCAAGGCCAGAAGAACAGGCCCAGATTTGGTTTGCTTCTGATGGTGGTACATATAAGAGGAGGGTGGGGCCAAAGTCATGCTACCATTTAATAAGGACATCTTTGCAAACAGCTTAGTTTCTTGCCATCAAAGGCAATGGAAGACATTCTCCTTCACTTCTGACTTATCGTAATCTTATCCAAAAGGTAAAAATGCCTTGGGCCACAGCAGACTGATCAATGTATACAAGACTCTGAAACACTGATCAGTCTATGTCAATGACACGTAGTCAGGAAAGTTTCAGTGCAACTACACATTTTGTTTATTTTTTTAATCCTCACCCGAGGATATTTTTTCCACTGATTTCCAGAGAGAGTGGAAGGGAGGAAGGGAAGGTGTAAAGAGAGAGACAGAGACAGAGACATTGATGTGAGACACATCGATTGGCTGCCTTCCCCAAGACCCTGACCAGGGCCAGGGATCAAACCTGCAACCCAGGTACATGCCCTGGACTGGGAATCGAACCTGAGACCCTTTGGTCTGCAGGCCGATGCTCTAACCACTTAGCTCACCAGCCAGAGCCAATTACACATTCTGTGAAATTACTCTGATTCAGCTTAAAATTCATCAAGTTATTATCAAAATAACTTTCTGGTTTTATGCTTAACAGAAAAAACAGCCCCACCAAGTGGAGTTTAATACCGTAAGTCAAGAGTTTGGTTTATAAAAATTAGTGTTCTAAAAAAATACCTCAAAGCAATCTACACCCACGTGCCAAAGTGCAGCAGTGGAATTGTGAATTACTTTCAAGAGTTCTGTCGATAAAGAACAAATGCCATAGTTGTTATTAAAAACTATAAAGCATTCACTCAAATTATAAGGAAAAAAAGATAATCTTATTGCTCCAAATACCAAAATATAATAGGCAGCAACGACAGAAAATTATCACTATTCATTACATGAAAATCACCCAATATTCAGTCTGAGATGCACTCCAATTAAAGAGTTTTGGTAGCTAATCACAAGTCACTTGTAATATTTAACATTCCACGGCTAAAACAAATACTAAAACCAGGCAACAGTTGGTTCTTTTGACCAGAGGGAAATACTGTTAAATAATAGCATTAACAGCCCTGAAAACAAAAGACAACTAGAATCAGAGGAGTCCTGAGACCCTGGCCTCCCCGTCAGCCACACAAAAGAGACTTCCCTGATTCTGAGCCCTAGTGCCCTCTAGGGACAAAAGGGTCAAGTCTTGCCAGGGACAAAAAGTGCCTAACTGGACATGGTAGTGCTTGTGACACAGAGTGATATTGCCAAGAACAGTGAACTCACTCCCCAGACTCCATCACTACCCACCAAAACTGCCTGGTAAGCTTCCTCTCTGATGTAGGAACAATAATTTAGTCAAATAACTGAGAAAGATAAATGAAAAATATATTAGCCACTGTCCTGCTGTCACTCCTTTTGTCTCTCTTTTATTTCTTATAACTGGCTTGCTTCATATTCAAACTGGAGCTCTGGGGAGGTAGTCCTGGGGAAAAAGATTTCAGATACCAAAATCCATAGGTCCCATACCAACCCAGCAAACCGAACAGGGTGCCAAATACTTTCTGGGACAGGTTGTGGAAATAAACGGCAGTGCACAGAAACATCCACACCCAGATGAAGGTCAGGAAGCCCAGGGCGACGACCAGGGTGGTGATAGCAGTGTGGAGGTGGTGGCTTCGGTCCGTCTTCACCCCATGCAGCACAGCCATTTCCTCCACAATCATGAGGGCACAGAAGGTCAGCAGGAAGGAGTGACCTGAGATGTCAAAGCCATGCCAAAAGCCTCCTTCCCTGTGGCACTGCTGCTTACTCTGGTGCTCTTTTCTGATCCCCTCCAGGGCTGGTGACTGGTAGCAGTTGCCTGTGTAGTGTTCAACGTTGGAGAAGATGGCTGTACAGACATACCAGATGGCAGTGCCCACTAGCAGGGTGCTCAGCCGCCGCAGGACCAGGCCAGCCTTGCCCGTCAGGTGATAGTTGGTGAGGGCAATGAAAGGCAGGAGGAGACAGAAGGTCCAGGCCCAGGCCACTTTGACAAAATACCTGGCAGAGGAGGAAAGCGGAAGTGAAGACAGGCATGGTACACGGTAGAGAGGAAACAATGCCGCGACCCAGGTCTCCAGACTTTCAAGGGAGGGAAAAATGAGAAAAGCTGATAAAAGCTACAGATAACAACTTACTAAGTACTTAAAGTATATTAACTATTTAGTCCTTAACAACTCCATGAGGTAAGGAGTGTTTTCCCCATTTACAGACAAGAAAACTGAGGCATAGAGAGGTATCCTGCTGGAAGTGGAGATCCTAAGTGGTGGAGCTGTGATTCAAATCCAGGGTCTGTAATCTTAAGCACTATGCTATTTGTTCAGGAAAGTAATAACTGAACATCTACCAGATGCCAAGAGTTTTCACATACCTTCACTTTCCCATGGAACACTCACACTCTCTGGGAGGAAGGCATCATCTGCTCCATTTTACAGATAAAGAATCCGAGGCTCAGAAAAGTTTAAAAACTTGCCCAGGGTCACACTCACACAACCCGCAAGCACAGTTTAAACTGAAGTTTGGCTAGTCCCAAAGCCCATGCTTTTTCTACACCATGGCAGAAAACTATCTCGGAAAAGAACTTGACTTCACAGAAGATCCAGACTCAAATCCTGACTCTGATTTAACTTGTTACCACACTTCTCTAGGCCTGTGTCCTCAGCTGTCAAACAGAACTGGGGGAACCAAATGATTTTTTAAATTCCTTCCAGAGCCAATGATTCACTAACTCCTTTCCGTGAATTAGCACACAGGCTTGGAACAAAACACCAGAATCCATGACTACTGGCAAATAACTGGGACTCGTCTGCCAGGCAGCTTGGCTCCCAACTCACCCAGGCCAGATAAAGCAGCAGTTGCCTTGTCTGCCTCCCCTGTGTTCATCAAAGGTGGCTGACCTGGGGACCAGCTGCAAGGGACTTGGGGCTACTTACTACCACTCTCATAATCTATTCTTAGCCCAGCCTCCATGGTGGGTGAGGAAAGTGGGCCAAGGACAGAACAATCCTTTCCTGGGTTCCAAAGGTTTCTCAGACACCACTCAAGGACCTGTCCTAAAACTCTTCCCTGAGACTAATACTCAAAAGATCTTGCCAGAGCCAACACCTGTCAGGCATTTGACGAAGCTGCTCAGGAGAGAAACCAGGGTTTTAAGTAGATACCTAAAGCTGGACTGATTTAGGGAAATGCCTCTGACACTGGAATTCTAGAGAATCTAGGCCCACATCAAGGAAGACATTTCGCCTTTCAGAGTATATCTACTGCAATAGTGCAATAAAGTTTAAATCCAGGAGTTTAACAAGAAAAGAAAGGCGTGTGTAGCTGGAGTTCAGGAGGTATCTCAGAGAGCCCAGGGATTGCTTTCCTGGGCCACTGCCATGAACCTTGAGTGTCTGGGACCGTCCCAGGCGATCCAAGGGAAAGGTCAGAGACTGGAGGGTTCCACTCCTCGAGAATATCTTGGAGGGCCGTTCTGTCCTCGGCTGGGACAAGGCTCTCAGAGGGGGGTAGGAGGGTGTCATTTACAGGTGGTGATGGAATTGTCACAAGCTGGGAGGATCGGGCTTAGGATGGAGGCATGGGGACTGACGCAGGCAGGAGGGAGGTGGCATCTCCCCGAGGGCAGGGGCCAACTACTAACTCCAAGGGGAGGTGGGGGCAGCAACCAACATAGGCTGGTTCACCCCCTTCCCACCCGGCACTCCTACATACGCACAGACACACACAACCCTGCGCGTCTTGTCTGGGTGTGCACACAGGAACTGCCAGTGCCACTGCCTATGCCGGGCCCCTCGCTCGCGACACGCGTGCAGAAGCTGTCACATTGGGAGAACTTCCCTTGCCACTGCCTCGTCCGTCAGAGCAGCTAAGCCCCGGCTGTCTGGAGGAGGCGACAGCGGGTCGGCGATGGCGGGGACGGGAGGGGACCCGGGGCGCACTCACACGTTGAGGACGTTGCGCTTGTTGCTGAGGTAGCTCTCGGGCAGCGGGGAGAGCTCCTTGAGGAGGGAGCCCACCAGCATGGACGCCACCAGCGCCCACGGCAAGTAGCGCCGAACGGCCACCCGCACCAGCGTCCCCCTGAGGATCCACGCGCAGCGTTCTACATGCTCCATGCCGGACCTCGTCGGCCACCGTCCGCCGCACTGTGCGCTCTCGGCCACCGTCTTGCCCTCAGCCCTGTCTGGAACGGCTGCCTCCCTTCCGGCGCATGCGCAGCGCCCCGAGGCCCCGCCCCCGAGGGGCGCTGGCGCTCCCCCCCGCCGCTTGGCCGCCATAGGTCGTTCCGCCGCGCGCCCTTTCCTGACTCCTCGCTCCCCTCTTCCCGCGTCCCTCAGTCCCGCCCCGGGTGACAGGTTCCCGTGGTGGTAGGTTCGAGCCTCAGCCTCTGCGTCTTGCTCTGGTCTGGGAAAAAGCGCACGTGGGAGTATTTCTGGAGGTGGGAAGAATAATAAACGTGGCACTGTAGGAATTAGAACAGTGGTCGCAGCACCCATTAGCCCCTCGTGGAGACTTGGAGACACGCCTCCCCCGGAGCCTTCGTTTTCTCTTCTGTCAAATGGGGAGACAGAAGGTCCGCCCTTCCTAAAAGTGAGTTTATAGACTCGAGGTTGATGACGGTGATCCGGGTGTAGGGACGTGAGATCAAATTTCATTAGAAAATAAGTGCGTAAAAACAGTTATTAAATTTAAAATGTAAATTATTAAATTTAACTTCACTTTTAAAAAAATCCTCACTGGAGGATATTTTTTCATTTATCTTTAGATAGAGTGGGCGGGAGGGAGAAACACTGATGGGAGAGAGACACATCCACCCCACGCTTGCGGTTGCCCCCCCCCCCCCCCCACGTCCCTGGCCCTGGTAGGGTCCAACCACAACTGAGGGACATGCCCTTGACCGGAACCACTGCGACACTCTAACTCCTGAGCCAAATTGGCTGGGGCTATTTTCACTTTTATTTATTTATTTTAAACTTTTTTTTTTCTTTATTGATTTTAGAGAGAGATAGAGACATCGATGAGAGAGAACATGGATTGGCCGCCTCCTGCATGCCCCCCACTGGGGATCGAGCCCACAGCCTGGGCATGTGCCCTGACCCGGAATTGAACTGGTGACCTCGGTGCATGGGTTGAAGCTCAACCAGTGAGCCCCACTGGCTGGACAGGGATATTTTCACTTTTAAAACGCCTATTTGTATTGAGTGAAGATGCTGGATGGGGCGGGGGTGTTAAGGAGATGAGGGTGTTGGACACTCAGCCACTCAGTTGATCACAGACCCAAGTCCTCTCACCTCCTGTCATGGCTGGGTGTCTAATTCAGCAGTTTCCCAACCTGGAGCCATTTCTTTGCTACTGTATCCGTTTCCTAGGGCTGTCATAACAAATTACCACAAACTTGTTGGCTTAAAACAACAGAAAAGTATTCTCTGACAGTTCTGGAGGCCAGAAGTCTGAAATCAAGCTGTGGACAGGCTTGGTTCCTTTGGGAGGCGGAGGGAGGATCCGACCCATGGCTGTCATAGCTTCTGGTGACTGCTTGCCAACCCACGGCATTCCTAACTACAACCTGTGCTTCTGTCTTCACGTGGCCTTCTTCCCTCCGTGTGTCTTCTCTCCTTCTGTTTCTTATCAGGACACTTGACAGTAGATTTAGGGGGCCACCCTAAGTCCAGGATAATCTCATCTTGAGTTCCTTAATTAAAGACCGTATTTCCAAATAAGGTCACATTCCCAGATGCAGTTCTTCCCAACTCCATGGTCAGTGATATCAGCCATGTTGGGAGTATTTGCGCTAAAGAAATCAGTAAGTGCTACAAATCAGGGCTTTATTAGATTAGGATTCAACCCCATTTATTAAAACATGGTTGAATTGAAACTATAGGTTGGCCATGGATATGAGAGTCCAGCAAAAATCAATGAAAGTGTTTTGTGAGAATCATTTAGCTATATGGACTTTACCACAGAGAATATGTGTTTATCTTATAATTTTTATATTATGTGCTACCAAAGATGGAACAATTCTTTATATTAAGAAAATTGGGGGGGGGGGCATTGAGCAAAAAATACAAAAAAAAGAGAACTCATGGACATGGAGGACAACATTGTGGTGATTGGGGGGAGGAGGGGAGAGATGGAAGAGGGCATGGAGGAGATAATGGTGATGGAAAAAATAAAATATATAAAAATTTATAACAAATTTATGTACATATGTACATAAATATATACTTATATACTTATACATTTCCCCCTAGATAGCTAGTCGTTAAACATTTATCAACAGATCACTGGTTGTGACCCAGTCCACATGAAAATACATATGTAGCATATAAATGAATATATATGCTAATAGATGCATAGATATAGCTATAAATACAGGTTTTTGACAGTTCATGACAGAATTTGCCTCTACTCTGTATAAGGCACTCCATTATTTTTTATTCAGTTGTAAATTCAATTAAAAATGCTGGTCATGACCCACAAATTATTTTACAACTCACTGATGGGTGGGGATCTATAGTTTCAAAAACATTATACTAGATTTTAAGGCATTGGAGGAGGATGCTCTGCACTCTCCCCACTAGAGGGCGATAGAGGACCACAAATATCAAGGTTCTGTCCTGCCTGAGACTTCATTTCATTCCTTAATTTATCTATTCCGCAAATACTTGTTAGAAGTATATGGTTTCTAGCCTCAAGAAACTTAAAATCTAGTGAGGGTGATAATCATTAATTTATTCAGCCAACCAGCATTTATTAACCATTTACTATGCACCAAGCATGGGACTAGATGTTAGAATGTCCTGTTTTAGATAGGTGAGTTTCCTCAATAACTTCAGATTTAAGACCCTATAAAAACACAATTTCCCACGTGTTTTAAAAATATGTTTTTATTGATTTTAGAGAGAGAGGAAGGGAGGGAGATAGAAACAAGTATGTACCAATTGACTGCCTCCCACATGCACCTCCGCTGGGGATCAAACCGGAAAACCGGGCATATGCCCCTGACTGAGAATCAAACAGGTGACCTTTGATGCATGGGAGCATAACCACTGGGCCACACAAGCCAGGGCAAAATTTCCAACATTTGAGGCAGAATTGCTAGTTGAGGCTGGACCATCTGGTCAAACCAGAAAGCAAGGAAGCCATAAGCTATAAAAGACTGGTTCCGTCATTTCAGGAGGACACAGGAACCAATGGAAAGGCTCCCAAAGACTAAATGGGACAGTTTGAACATAAATAAGAATAATAACTTCAGTGGCTGGAAACACACATCTGTTTAAATCCATGGGTTCATAATGGCACTTAAAAAATGGAATGACCACTTTTGGAGGAATCAACTATTTACTGTATTTTTGTTGTTGTTGTTTTTTAATTTTTGTTACAGATGTTTCTCCTTTTTTACCCCATTGACAACCCTCCATTACTGTATTTTGAAAACTAGTAAAAAGATGAAGAATCAGGCTTTTTTTTTTTTTGCCTCTCCTATGGAAACTGAACCACTAAATAACCAAAAAGTAGATGAGTTTCTTGTTAAAGAAATATCTCAACTAGTAAACAAAAATGTTCATTAAGAGAAAAGTTTAATAAATACTGGGCAGCACTTCTAATTAAAGCTTTAAAAATCTATCACATAAGGTTTAAAATTTTTAAGTCAGATTATCATAATTTTGACCTTTGCTCAGATTTTATATTTTAGATTTCTTAGAGTCAGGTTTCATGTTTACAGAAAAGGAGATCTAGAATGAAAAATATGTCTGCTGCCATGGCTGGTGTGGCTCAGTTGATTGAGTGTCACCCCATGCACCTAAAGGTCACCGGTTTGATTCCCAGTTAGGGTACATGCCTGGGTTGAGGCTTGATCCCCAGCAGGAAGCAGCTGGTGGATGTTTCTCTCTCTTTCTCCCTCTCCCTTCTTTCTAAAAATATCCTCGGATGAGGATTAAAAAAAACAAAAGTGCGGGAACTGAGGCTGAGGGAAGCTGAGGCTACTGGAGCCCCAGGCAGCTCCTCTTAAAGGACCCTCGCTCGGACTTACTTGGACCTGCTCCCTCAGGGCTCCAGTGTTGGGGAGGCAGCTTGGAAGACACCAGAGACATATGGGAAGAATGAAGTTGTTCGGCATTGGGGCGAGTGCTGGAGAGGCAGCTTTCTCCTGGGCATACGTGCTGATGGAGGTTGTTCCTTTGGTGAGCCCTTGCCCCATAAGACTGGCAGACAGGTGCCATATCTGGGACTCCAGCAACCTGGCTCACACTGTTTGACCCTTCCTGATGATTCCCTGAGGCCCCCCCCACCCAACTTTCTGGCCCACCCAAGCTGTTTCCAGTGGCTTTACCATAGGCTCTGCTTCAGGTTTTCCTAAATTCTCTCAAACAAGCAGCATCTGGCCGCAACAAGCCCCATACCTCTGTCTAAGTGGTCTCAGGCCTAGCACAAGAAGCAGCCAGCCTTGGTTAACAGCTTGGTTTTGCCTGGGCACCTCCAAGCCCAGCACAAGAAGCAGTCATCGGCAGATTGCTTTGTAGCTTATGCCTGGAGGCTCCGGATAGAACACAGAGCCAGCACACTCAGTGGACAGCTTCAGACCACGGCGAAGCACCACCATCCAACCACCTCCACAAGGGACACACTCGAGGAATGGACTCAGTGGGTACCAGAGCCCTGCTGAAGTAAGTCTTGTTCTGTGTGATGGGTCCCTGCACAGCTGATCAAGGAAGTCAGAGGTTGGTGGTTAGTGGACACAGCCAGTCCTTGCAGCTGGTCAGCCTGAGTAAATTCCTCCCATTGATGTGCCAACAGCAATAAAGACTCAGTTATGTCCGGCTGGTGTGGCTTGGTGGTTGAGCGTTGACCCGTGCACCAAGAGGTTGCCAGTTTGATTCCTGGTCAGGGCACGTGCCCAAATTGTGGGCCAAATCCCCGGGGGGGCGGGGGGGGGCATGCAGGAGGTGGCCGATTGATGTTCTCTCTCATTATGTTTCTAGCTCTCTCTCCCTCTCCCTTCCTCTCTCTAAAATCAATAAAGAAAAAGAAGAAAAAAGACTCAAATACAACAGAAGGGTGTACAGTCCACACTAGGGGTGTTCCTCAAGGGCCCACCTGGGTGACCAGAGAGGCTGTGCCTCTGGACCCTACA